TCTGTTCTTTCGGCGGCTTGCCCCGAGGACGGCCTGTGATTGTTACCTCCTTGGACCCATTGTGCGGATTGGGAAGCCGAGACCAGAGGGAAAGGTCCCTCACTGCGTCAAACTGGCAGGACTTCCACCTGACTCCCTTTGCCCGCGAATATTGGGTTTCCTTTTAGGGTGCTTCCCTTTTGAAGTTGATTGCCCACCGTGTCAGTCTCTTTTGAAATGCAAGTCTCTCGCGTAGACTTATTGTAAGGGTTAACGGGCAGACACCAAAGCAAAACCAAACTCATTACCGTGGATTCCAACTAATAGCCACCCCGTGGGGCAGCCCTGATGGCACAATGGTTGTGCATTAGACTGCTAAGCGCAAGGTCAGGAGTTCAAAACCATCCGCTGCTCCTCAGGAGAAAGACGGGGCTTTCTCTCCAGTTACGCGTTACAGTCTGGGCAACTCACAGGGGCAGTTCTACCTTGTCCTGTGGGGTCGTTCTGAGGTGGCATCGACTCCACGGCAGTGAATGAGTGAGTTCAGAGTACTTTGTGTGAGTTTGTTCTTTCTGAGAGAAGAAAGCCCCGTCTTTCCCTCATGGGTTGGAACTGCTGACCAGGGCTCCTCATTGAATAGAGACAGGTAAATAGACACAGTAGAAATGCCCAGCACCTACTGCTCAGGAAGCTCCCTGGGAAACTGCTCCGTGGGGTCTCGGCTCTTCCTCTCACCTTTGTCCAGTAGAGAATTTGGCCACTGAGGCATCCTCTGGCAGCCACGCTGGGCGTCCTGATGCCCAGAGGGTTGGTCTGTGCTCTGGGCCCGCTGAGCATGCTCTTCCCTTTGCCTGAAGTGTACTTTCCGAAACTCTGCCCTCTGTTTGGTTTCTTCCCGCTCTGCGATGATGGTTAAATGCCACCTTTCAAAAGAGAACTTCTGAGGAGTGATGAGCCCTGGGAACGTGCTAGGCCAGCAGTGTGATTGTCATTGGGATGGCTACAGCTTTTAGTTCTATTTTTTCCACACCTTTTTGAAGCCCCTCCCCTGAACGTCTGTGCTTTGTCGATTGCTTCTCTCCTCTTCATGGTAATGAAGGTGACTGGTGTTCACCCCGTTACTCTGTTGTCTCATACAGTAACTTATGTATGAACTTGTTGCTAATGAGTCAATGCCCACTCACAACCCCATAGAACCCTAGACCCAGAGTAGGGCTGCCCCATGGGGTTTCCAAGACTGCCACCTTCAAGGAAACACCTCAGGTTGCTTCTGCAGAGTGAATGGTGGGTTCAAACCCTGACCTCGGACTTAGCAGATGAGTACTGTGCCGCTGGACCACCATGATGGATAAACATCTGTTGAGCAATTCACTCCAGGTCCCTGATAGGAACAGTACACGGATGCTAGGTCTGCTGCCAGTCCGCACAAGATATCCTGACGTACCCCGACTACTCCTTAGGTGGAGGGGGAACAGGGGTGGGCACACGGGAGACAGGTGAGAGTGGAACAGTCTGGCTCCTTTGACACCTTTCAGAAGTAGGCCACACAATAATTTGGTTTGATATCCTCTCTTCCCACCATCTTCCCATTTGATCCGTTGTTGGCGCCTTCCACGCCGGGCTTTCCCCCATGGTATGCTTGGTTTCCTGTTCCAGGACCCCAACGCAGACACCGAGTGGAATGACATCTTACGCAAAAAGGGCATATTGCCCTCAAAGGAAAGTGCCAAAGAACTAGAAAAGGAGGCCGAGGAGGAGGAGCAGCGACTCTTTCAGCAGTCAGTTGGTGAGCTTGCTCAGTGTCTTTCTTCCCTGTCTGTCTGGGTTAGGAAGTGTCGCCCCAAGCCTCTCAGTGCTGCTCTTTCAGCAGCCCTTAAGAGACAGGGACTTGAGCGCTGGCATGACCTTGGGCAAGTTCCAGGATGTTGCTAGCTTTCACCTTCCAGGGCTATTGGATTTGGGCACTTCCGAGGTTCCCTTCAATCTCACAGCTTGTCTGTGTCAAGTGCAGATGGTCATCCTGAAGAAAGTATCTCTACATCTGATTTCCAGGTTTGTGATTCACTGTGGATAATGTCCCCAAAATTCGTTCCCAAAGAAATGTGTAGTGGTGTGCTCCCCCAGGGCTGTACTTTGCTCTCTGTGGTTTAATTGATTAAAATCACTTAACGTAATTTGGGGAGACATAAAGGTGTCTGTCTATGATATCACGGTTCTATGGGGTTTTCTCAGAAGTGACCATACACCTAAGTTGGATTCCGTTGGGTGCTTGTGAAAATAATTCCCAGGCAGCCATCCAAGACACAACAATTGGTCTCACACGAGGAGCATTGGGAAGAGTCAGGAGCAGGAGGATGCGGAATGTGTGGCTAATTGCCTCCATGAACAACTGTCTCCTTTATTATGGGACCGGAAGAACTGGTCTCATAGTCAAAGATTCCATAGGCAAATCCTTACTATGAGGGGGCCAATGCAAAACAGAATATCAAATTCTCATGGAGTCTAGGCTTTTTGGATAGAGAGTGGATGGACCCTGAAATTATGCCCTGAGATCATCTGGAACCCTTAAACCACACATGTGCCCTGTTGAACAACAGTTTAGCATTAACGGTTAAAAAAAAAGTTTGCCTTGAGCATTGCACTCTTTTTAAGAACGAGATGTTAATATTGTCAGCTCCGACCCATAGCAGCACTGTGTATAACAGAATGCAACACTGGGCAGTCCTGTTATGTGTGAGCCCAGTGTTGCAGTCGCTGAGTCAGCGCAGCTCGTTGAGGGACTTTCTGCTTTTCCTTGGTCCTCTACCAAGCATGATGTCTTGGGACTGGTCTCAGGTGTTCTGAGACAGAAATGTTGCTCTTCTGGCAGTCCATAGTACTGTCAGTATTCTTTGCCAACACCATGATTCAAATGCATCAATTCTTCTGCAGTTTTCCATATTCCTGTCCAGCTTTGGCATGCATGTGAGGCAGTGAAAATACAGTGGCTTGGGTCAAATGCACGTTAGTCCTCAAAGTGATGTCCTTGCTGTCTAGGGAGCCTTCCTGCAGCAGATTTGCTCAGCTCAGTGTTGTTTAATTTCTTGACTGCTGCTAATAGTCCTTACACTGTTGCTCTTTTCTCCAGTTATGATGTCTACTGGGATATTTGTGAGGATTTGGGGTTTCCTTATATTGAGTTGTACACTGTAGTCTGTGATCTTCATCATTAAATGCTTCAAGTCTTCATTTTCAGCAAGCAAGGTTGTGTCATCTGTATCATCACGAGTGTTCATGAGCCTTCCTCCCATCCTGATACTCACTGTTCTTCGTAGAATCCAGTCTCAGATTATTTCCTTGGCAGACAGATGAAATAAATCTGGTGAAAGGATACCAACTTCACACACCCCGTCTTGATTTTAAATCATATAGTCATAAAAACTCTTGATGTTGACTCATAGCAACCCTATAGGACAGCATAGAGCTGCCCCTGTGAGTTTCTGAGACTCTTAACTCTTTGTGGGAGTACAAAGCCTGTCTTTCTCCCTTGGAGTGACTGTTGTTTTTGATCTGTGGACCGTGTGGCTAGCAGTCCGACTCGTAACCACTACGTCACCAGGACTTTTTAATCAACCATGCAGTAGTCCTTTGCTTTGTTCAGATGACTGCCTCGTAATCTTGTATAGGTTCCTTCCCAATGCTGTCCATGCGTTATGATCCACGTAGTTGAATGCCTTTGCATAGTCAATAAAACACAAGTAAACATCTTTCTTGTATTCTCTGTTTCAGTCGTGCCCTCTCTGAATCCAGCCTGAAGTTTGGCAGCTCCCTGTTGATGTACTGCTGCAATTATTTTTGAATTCTCTTCAGCAAAATTTTACTTTCGTGCGATACTAATAATAGTTTTAATAGTTTTCAAATCCTGTTGGGTCACCTTTCTCTAGAAAGGGCATGAATCTGATAGACCTTTTCCAGTCTGCCTTCCACATTTCTTGGTTTAGACTAGGGAGTGCTGCCAGCGTTTCATTGGTGTGTTGAAGCATGTTACTTGGTAATCTGTCCGTTCCTGGAGCCTTGTTTTTTTGCCGGTCCCTTCAGGACACCTGAGACTCCTTTCTTCAGGGACATCAGTTCTTAATTATATTACCTCTTGACAGGGTCGACGTCAAGGACCAATTCCTTCTGGCACAGTGACTGTGTATTCCTCCCAT